TCAGGAAGTATGAAGATAAGCTGCAATAGACCATGATATCGGGCAAGAATTGAGTTAATGACATGTTCCGCCTCATATGCCACATCTAGAACACGAGTCCAAAGATCTCTATGCAACTCTTGCTCAGCATACCCGAAGAACGATCTTATAGTTTCCAGGTCTTCTTTCACCTGCTTAATTTCTTCTTTTATCAAAGCAACTGAAGAAGCATTTGAATTGACCAAGTCATTTAAGTTTGTGAGTAGAAGAGTCATGAAGAGTGGTCCATCACTCATGGGGAAGCGGAGCTGAGATGAGTCTGCACAGGCTTTCAAGAAAACATTCTTGAGATCTTCCTTGAGGAGTTCAATATTTTCCAGCAAGTTTAGACCTGTACCGCTTGTTGCGTTCATATTCTCTTCTAAGTTGCGAACAAGAATGAATACCTCCTTGGTATGTTCTCTAACACGTGCCAAGAGAACAAACAATTTGTCATGACGAATAACGTCCTTGAGCACATCACTAAGAATAATCAATAGGAACTCTATCATGACATGAATGTTACACGTAGAAGCGCTAGGAGTAACAGCATTAACCATGTGCTCTTGTAGATGAATCAGAGATTCTCTAAGAATGTCCGGAGAGGCTTCTACAAGCTGATTGATGAAACGTCCAACTTCTTCCGACTTTGAACCTTTCAAATTTGTACAACATATGTGCATAAACCTCCAGTTCAACAGGAATAACCTCCACAAGTAGATTAGCTAGCTTGGAGTTAACTCGAGAGACATCTGATTCATCTAATTCGTCAAGTTGACAATACAAAAGAGTAAAACAGAAGTTTACAACTCTCTGAGCCATAAGTTGAAGATGGGGTATGACATATTCGATTGTCTCATACTCAACGCAACCATTTACTTTCAACCTATGGAAATCTCTTAAATTGCCAAATACATTCTGAAGAAGCTCATATTGAGTCATTGATGTAAAAATAAACTCAGAACACAACTTGGGTAGATATTGGAGATACATGAGGATGGCATCCAAAAGTTCAACCAAACGATCCTCGGTCGTGGTTACACGACTTGGTTCAGCATAGCTAATATAACTTTTGATATTCTCAAAGAGGTCATGATAATTCATATTAACGAGCATGTCTTCTCCATGTAGATGCAAAAGTGACTGAACCAGATCATGAATATCATTTGATATGCAAGACATTTCGTCATTACAACCTTCCGAAAAGAAAGAGTAATAAAGATGACAAAATGCGGACACAAACGTCAGCTCCAATGTCAAATCTTCAATTTGATCTATGTCAAGAGAAGTTAGAACACACCCATTACTTAACCTCTCTATGAAATCTATAAGATTAACATTGTCCTCGTGAAGTACAACGGATGACACCTGCCAAAACACCAATGTTGTTTCAAATTATGTTAATACATAGATGGTGATAGTTTAGATAGAAAAAGGGAACACCTGATAGTTACCTGTGAAACTCATGAAAACTTGATAGTTCATATCCAAAATGGGAACAACTGATAATTGAGGTGTGAAACTCACGAAAACGTCTGATAGTTGAGTTGTGATCAAACTCGCGAAAACGTGATAGTTTATGTATGTTTTGATTATTAACTCTAATTTTCAGTCTTAAATTACAACAGGCAACTATCACAAGTGCAGAAGACTTTCTCCAGAATAGCCTAATAGAGAAGCCAAATGTTTGTTCTGTTACACCTCAATTCTTAAAACAAAAATGACAGCCTGGTGCACTAAGCTCTCTGATTGTTTACGCGCTATCTCTCTAAACAAAAGCTCTTACTTTCTTTGTTCTTAAGCCATTCCGAACATGTTGTACTTAGGCCACCAAGGCCCGATTCTCAGGATCTAATACAAGGTTTGATTATATTCTTGCCCTTATATTCATCTTTTTTTATGACCGTGGTGTTTAGGCTAAATTTCACGCAACTCGACTAATTTCACGAGATACCTCCCACCAGCAACAGGTACCAGGCAACTCTGGCCACCAAGGCTAGGACATATAGGAAGAATCACTAGTATTTTTTGTCTCGCTATGTTTTGAACCTAACACCTCAGGGTTTTCAACCACCCTTATACTCATTTTACCTTGCTAATTTTGTGATTTATGTCATTTCATTTAAAAGATCAATCTAACTCGCGTGTCCTAAAATGAATTTGATAAATTCAACTATAGCAGATGATTTAGTGTATAGATCAGTTTACCTTATATAAACAAAGATTAAATCATCAATTCTTATAATTTATAAATATTATATTCACCATCTAAGTTACATTAAGCAACAAACATACTTACAAGAATATATTAATTAAGTGAATGAAAAAAATAATTAAATATTATATGCAGCATACCAATGATTTGTTATCTTCCCCTTTTGTTTGTCCTTCATTTTCTTTTCCTCTTTCCATTCTCAAGAGAAACAATTTACATCAAACTAAAAATGAAGGAAAATTAAAGGTGTAATAAGAATTTTTTCTTTTCCAGTTGAGAGTTGTAAAGGTGATAAGATAAGCCCACTAACTCACTAGGTGGGGTTCCTATTTGGTCCTTAGCACTTTTAGAATATATTTTTCAGAAAATGGTCAAAAATGCATTTTAAATTATGTGAAATGAATAGAATGTCCTCTGTTTATAGTTTAATTTAAAAATGTTTTTGCCGTCAATACTTTGGTTCAAAAGTATCCTTGCAGTCAATACTTTGGTTCAGAAATACCCATATAGTTACTAAATAGGTCAAAAATGTCTTTTTTCGAAAATGATAATATATTATTTCATTTCTATTTAAACACATCTTCTTCCTAATTAAAATATATTTTAAGAACTCTATTCTTGTTTTCTTTCTTTTAAAATCACTTTAACAAATAAAAATATAGGGAAAAATTTTTCTTCTTAATCTCATTTTATCAAAGAAAAAAGGACATATATCTCCCGAACTATTATAAATGATATGTATATATTCTTCGTTATACTTTACGTATGTATGTTCCCACAATCGCAAAAAAGCAGCCTCCAGAGTTTGAGATGATTATTCTACTGTGTGCTTTTAACCTCTAATCTATGCATTGTTCTCCGCTGTTGCAATTCTGTGGGAAATTGCGTTTGTTCTCCAGTATTGCAATTTCATATGCATCGTTCTCCACCCTCTATGATACATACTATTTATGATAGTTCGAGATATATTTGTCTTTTTTTCCTTTTTATCAATTAAAATAGAATAATTTCATGATCACTTTCGACGGATGATATATGTCATATATATAAGATCATAGTATATATCCATCATTAATTTTTATTTACATAACAATAAAAAATAATTATAATAAAATAAGAAATATTTTTTATTTTTTATTTTTTTCTGAATTAAAGTAGGATACACATTTGCTAATTTTAAAAAATACTAGTTTTTGAACACGTGCAACGTACGTGTATCCCATATTAATTGGTGCACACAATTTAAAAAGAAATATAAAAAATTAGAATATGTGTGCCATGAGTTGCACGAAATTATAGAGAATTTTTTTTTTTTTTTAAAATGCCTAGAGATGTATAAAAGAAATATTGAAGCATTAATCTGATGATATCATCCTCTAATGTATAAAAATAAAAATGCCAAGACATGAGAGCTGGACAAGAAGAGAATATTTTTCCTCCATACGTTCATAGAAAAAGGAAAAAGGATGAATAATCAAGCAATTATCAAATGTTTACCAAAAGTGGCCAATATGAATTTACAAACATAAATATAGGAAACAACTCGTGAAAAGTTATATAACTCACACTCACAGACACAATCTTGTTTTAGCAACCTGTCAAACTCCTTTTTCTCGGTAAGGATAGGCACGAAGTCACTCGACTGAAAGGAGAGGGAACAATCACAACGTTACACCCCAAAATTATACGGAGAATAGATAACAAGTATTAAAATTCACAAGATATTGTAGGAACAAATATTATGAACGAAAAACATGCGATTAATATTTATTTTTTTGCATTTTGATTTACATGTCTACTTACATAATAAAAAGAGATCAACAAAGATGTAATTACAAATTACAATAAAAAAATTTAAGTATGAATAATCAGAAATCAATCAGTGGAAGAAATCAAAGCATTGGAAAATTTGGGTAAAAGAAAGAGATACATTTATAGAATTAACATACTATTTGACTCTTCATTACCCTTCACCTATGTTACAACTCTTCGTTATCCAAGTCTACAACTTTTTAACTAATTTTCAGTTGTAAGATGGAAGCATCTACAAAGCAATGAATAGATTAATGTCCAAGAAAATTAATAGATTACACTAAATGCTTGCCACATACATGGAATATAATTCAGCCAATTATAATGGTAATCCAACTTTAAAGTTAGGATCTTCCCACTTTTATAAGTAAGAAAGAAAGAGAAATAATCATAAATAAAGAATTAGAATTGAAACAATCCTTTCTAATTTTTTTAAAAAAATGTA